GGGCTCTTAATAAGAAACCACACAGAACAAGTTACAAATAAACATACTTTCTAATTACATATTTGCAAAAAAGTTATCAAAAATAAGACTTTTCAGAGAGGATTTAAAGCGGTTTAGACTACTGTTTTTAATTTGTGGACTAATCATATTAAAGTATCTTAAACCCTCACAGAGAACACTACGTTGTCCAGTGGTGGTGGTCATGGCAGATGTTCTGAAATCTTCTCTTGTTCTCGTGCCATAATGATGAATCATGCTTCCCGGAGTAAGTGTGATTGATGTCTGTACAGTCGATGAATTGCAGCGATAAAGAAATATACAGGATTGATAAATATAGAGCGAGTATATATCCAAAATTTTGTTGGGTTTATACAGATCAATTGTGGGAAAACGGAAAGGCAGATTGAATATGCGCTTGATAGCCCTATTCTGCAGGGCACACAATGGGTGTAATTTATTCTTGGATGCATTTCCCCACAGCAGTGTTGGGTATGATAGATGGGAATGTATTAGAGAATTGTAAATCATTTTGCGATGTAATATTGGCAAGAATTTTGCTACTCTGCCTAGGATTCCTACTGCTGGTGCGATTTTTTTACACAAAAGCAAGATATGCTGTTCCCAATTGAGTCTTGAGTCAATGTAAAGTCCCAAATACTTAATACAATAACTGCGCTGTAGTAATTGGTTTTGAAATGTTATCACTAAGTCCGGCCAATCATCACTCTTGAAAATAACCATGTAATAAGATTTTTCTATATTTAAAGTTAATTTATGAAAGCATAACCAGTCACTCACTGTCTCCAAGTCTCGCTCAATGGCATCTTTCATTTCAACCAGACTCCTACCAGAATATAATAGGCATGTATCATCTGCATATAAATATGGTTCTCCGCGTAGTAAAAGGTGTGAAATAGAGTTTATGTAGACCAAGAATAGAGACGGTCCAAGGATAGAGCCTTGCGGGACACCATGCTGAATGTCTCCAATAGCACTCCTTTCACCACCGCAAGCAACAAACTGGGTTCTACCATTCAAGTAATCCCGAAACCACAGCAGAACTGAACCACTTATACCAGACCTTTCAAGAATGGACAACAATACCTGATGGTTTACAGTGTCAAACGCTTTTTTTAAATCTAAGGAGACCAAAACACACTTGAACTTTTTATCAATTCTATTGTATATGTTATTAAACAAATCTGTTGTTGCTGACGCTGTGCTGCTGTTTTGCCTAAAGCCATATTGACGAGGGTACCAGAAATTGGTTGAAGTTAGAAAGGCATTCAGACGATTATTGACACAAGTCTCCAACACCTTTGAAATAGCAGTCAAAAGTGAGATCGGACGGTAGTTGTTTAGTGAGGTGCTATCTCCTCCCTTATATAATGGAATGATCTTTGCCATCTTCAACATATTGGGAATGGTTGCTTCTCTGAATGTAAGGTTTGTGAGCATGCACAAGAGTGGAGATATTTCACAGCAAAATTCTTTAATTATATCGATACTTAGTTTGTCGTTTCCTGGGGACTTGCCTGGTTTAAGATTTCTTATTACATTGACTATTTCATCAATTGTTGCATTGTCCCAATTTCGCAAACTTACCATGTTTTGGTTTGCCTGTGGTACGAAGTTTGAGGGTATAGCGCTTATGTTGTTTGCAAGAGTTGCTGCTACTCCAGAAAAATGATTATTGAAGCTATCAGCTACTTCAAGTGGCTCAGAAACCAAAGTGTCTGAGATTAAAAGTTTAGGAGTTTTACTGTTTCCTGCATTATGCTTGGAATTATGTATTATAGTGTTGAGTACATTCCACAGTTTTTTACTATTGCCCTCTGCCCTATTAACTTCACTAGTATAATATTCTTTCTTAGATATGTCTATGGCACTTTTTAATTCTTTTTGGGATGCTTTATATCTGTTCAGTACAAGGTCACTGTTAGGGAACAATTTATGTCTTTTATAATAATAGTCACGTTGCTTTAATAAGCGATGTAATCTTATGTTAAACCATGGTGCGCTATTCTTCCGAAACCTGCTGACATACGATTTATGATATAAACAGTTTAGATATGTTTGAATTATTTCATCGTACAGCAGGTTAGGATCATTCCATAAAACATTATTCAACTGTATTAAGCCTCTTTGAAATGCAGCTTTATTTAGATTGGTTAAAGTGTAAGTACGACTATGAAGATAGCCCTTTTTATTCAGGTCCACACTCAAAAACTGCAGCCGATGTTCAGACAAAGCACAATCCGTCAACGAAAGTTTGTTGCTGTACTTTAGATTATTTGTTATCACATAGTCAATCAAAGTACTAGTGTTGCTTGTCACTCTTGACGGAACAGTCTGATTAATAATTGCAAAACCATTGGAATCCGTTGTGTGCTGAAGTAAATCTCGTTGAATGTTATTATTTAAGAAGTCGACATTAAAGTCACCCAGTATCCATGAAGTTTTATTTTTGCCAGAGAGGGTATTAGCCTGCTCATCCAGAATCCCCATGAAGGTGTTGTAATCAAAGTCGGGAGGCCTATAGACAGCTCCAACAATAATATCCACCTCCTCAACATAAACAAAGACCATAGAACAATCAGCTTTACATTTCGCAATTTCCTGAAAAGTATAAACATCTCTCAGTAATATTCCCACTCCACCGCCTCTTTTATTTCTACTGACATACACTGACTGATAACCATGGAAATTAAAGTAATTCTCTTCATCTGAGGAAAGCCAGGTCTCTGCAATAACAACAGCATCCGGAAGATCCAAACTATTAAACAATGATTCCAACTCACCCATCTTGTTCCTCATAGACTGAGCATTGATGTAAAGAATATTGAAATGTGATGTAGAAGTGTATGATATATTACTAGACTTAAGGTCAAAGTTAGCAACAAACTTAGCTTCCTGATGTACCCCAGCCATTGTTGATGTAATTACCCTATCAATAAGAAAAAATGTACTTCAAATTCACTTACGCAAATCATTAATTATATCCTCATTATAAACATATATTGCTGGACAGTTGTCATTCTTCTTTATGAAGAACCTTCCATTCTTAGACCAACAGTACTTGAATTGTTTTTCCGCCTTAAGCTTGTAAGCAATTTTAAACAAATTGTTGTTAAAGTTAATATTATCGTCAAAAGCGGCGGATTGCTTGGTTTCATTAACCGAAACATCAAACACATGAGCGACACCAAGGCACTCACATGTCTTTATAACTGTGCTAAATCTGGCGAAAAAGAATGAAATAAATAGATTACAAAAAATTGCAAAATAGAACCATGAGGATAATTTTGGGAGAAACCAGAGATACACCCAAAAAAATAAATGTTAAACAAGTTAAATTGGCTCCCTATAGAAAAGTTTTTGAATTTTCAGGTGTTGGTGTTTATTTACAAAATAAAAAATGGGCTAGCACCAGTGGCGCACCCAGAAAATATGTTTGGAGGGGGGGGGCTACATAAGGTTGTGGCCTGTGACTGAAAATCTAAAAAAAAAAAAATTAAGGTGTCAGGGTGCCACGCCCAAAATTGGCCACATTTTTTTATATGTAAGAATAAAGTTTTGGAAGGGCGGCCTGGGAGGGGCCCTGGCCCGATGGTTCCCCCGTGGGTGCGTCACTACTGTCCAAGAAATCTGGGAAACTTTGGAAAATAAAGTATTTTTTGAAATATCCAGAAGCTTTTGAGCTTTAACATACTAAAATTTGATTGAAAACAAACCAAAGATTACGGAGTTACGAATCGCAGAGAGACACTGTGTAATTTTTAAAATACAGACTATGGTCTGATTTTAGACTTTTTTCCTGGAAATCTGGGATACTTTGGAAAATGAAGGATTTTTTTAGCCTTTTACCTTAAAAAAGACATACTAAAATTTGATTGGGAAAAATAAGGATAGCGAAGTTACAATATTTGTAATCTAAAAGACAGACTGAGAGATATTTTTGCCTCACAGTCTATATGGCCTGAATTTTTAATTTTTCTTCTGGAAATTCAGGATAACTTGAAGAATGAAGATTTTTTTTATCTATCCAGAAGCCTTTTAGCTTTAACATACTGAAATTTGATTAGAAACAAACAAAGATAACGGAGCTACGATTTTTTTATTCCCAGAGAGACACAAGTGATATTTTTCCAATAAAGACTTATGGCCTGATTCTAGATATTTTTCCTGAAAATCTGGGATACTTTGGAGAATGAATTTTTTTTTTATATATCCAGATCCTTTTTAGGTTTAACATACTGAAATTTGTTTGGAAAAAAACCAAAGATAGCGGAATTACGATTTTTTGTCGGGAGTATACACCTTATAGGTATATTGTTTTTTTTTTCTTTCCTTTGTGCGAAACGTCCAAAACAGGTTTTTAAAATACCTACTTTATAAACACCGCTTTCCTTCATCAGGCATACCTTATAAAACCAGACTGTTGCTGTGTGGGATGAAGAGCTTTGAGCGCCCTACTCATCATTCTTTATAAAATCCTGAACAATTAGGATATATTGCATCACCTTATTGGAATTAATATTATTGTTGGTCCCCATTAGACCAACCAAAACATCAACTGCTTTAGCACCCTCATAGAACTAATTATGAATTCACACTTTTTAATTCTTATTCCTAATTGTCAATTGAACGTTGTGTCTAAACTTTAAATTTTAATTTTATATTTGCTTAAGTGTGCTACTAATCTGATTGCTGTTCACTGTGATTTTGTCCAATGCCTTATCTTTTAATAGAATTTTAATGTATGTACCATTTGGAAATCCTTTTTCTTATTCTGTAGTGTACTGATTAAGTTAATAAATGAATAAATAAATTAAGCATTCAGGCCAAGAGGTGCCAAGGCAATTGAATCAACAAAAATTAATACAAAAATATTTGTTTCAACAAAAAGTTAGAATAATATTATTTAAAGAGTTAACATATTGTTGATGACTATTTCGGATCAATATTTGTATCTTATAGATTCTTCTTTTTTTTTTTAGAAAGTTTGAAAGGTTTATTGCAATATTACCTAGAAACTAGACTAAAAAATTACAATGTGAAATTAATAAGGCTGAAACATAGAATGGGTCTAATCCGGGCTAGGCTACAAGGCGCTAGAGAGGCTCAAGGCGATGCACTGATATTTTTAGGTAACAAAACTCTTTTTTAAAAAAATCTTTGTTTAATAAACTGTATTTTAGATGCCCATTGTGAAGCTACAAAGGATTGGATAGAACCGTTACTCTCTAGAATAGAAGAAGACAAAACAGCTGTCCTTGTTCCTATAATCGATGTAATAGAAGCAAGTAATTTGGCATATTCGACAAATGGAGATTCCAGCTTCCAGGTGGGAGGATTTTCTTGGTCAGGTCATTTTACTTGGATTGATATCCAAGATGAAAATGATAAAGGCAAAGTGACACCTATTAAATCACCAACAATGGCTGGAGGGTTGTTTGCAATTGAAAGAAGATTCTTTTGGGACATAGGATCGTATGATGAGCAAATGGACGGATGGGGTGGTGAAAATTTGGAAATGTCGTTTAGAATATGGCAGTGTGGAGGTCGATTAGAAACTGTGCCTTGTTCGAGAGTTGGACACATTTTCAGAGACTTCCATCCGTATTCGTTTCCTGATAACAAAGACACTCATGGAATAAATACTGCAAGATTAGCCCATGTATGGATGGATGAATATAAGCGATTATTTTTCATGTACCAACCTGCTTTAGAAAATAACCCTATAGTAGGAGATTTGACTCATAGAAAGCAACTGAGACAAAAACTCAAATGTAAAAGTTTCAAGTGGTATTTGCAGAATGTTTATCCGGAAAAATTTATTCCTGATGAGAATGTTTTTGCTTATGGTCAAGTTAGGACTGAGTTTGAAATGTGTCTTGATGATCTTCAGTTGTCGGATGATAAAGTTGGACCCTTGGGACTGTATCAGTGTCATCAGTTTTTTGCTGTTAGTCAGTATTTTTCATTGAGTAGTGATGGAGAACTGAGAAAGGTAATTTTTATTCACATATTTATTTAACATCAAACATCCTCAGATATTCTGGTACCTGTAAACGATAAATTATTATTATTTCTTGTAGGAGAATGTCTGTGCAGAGGTATTCAACGAGCACGAAGTCCAATTAACGGAATGCCACGGACACAAACGTGAACAATATTGGGAGTACAAAAATGGGACATTATTTAATCCGTCTACTAAAAAATGTCTGAGTAGTGATAGAGTGGAGAATGGGAAAGCGTTAAAAGTAGAGAAATGTCAGGGGGGCGTGTTCCAAAAGTGGTCGTTTACCAAAGTAAACAGAACGGCTGTGGTAGAATGAGGGTTTTTAATTTATAGAGCAACTAAAATTCAAAAATAAACTGGTACTTTTTAAAGAACAATATATAGATATAAGCTTCGAGTTCATCCGTTCTGTTTTTATTTTATTTTTTAATTTTTGGGTCTCAAGGTAGATTGATTCTTTGCTCAAAGATTGTAATGTAAACTCCTCATCCAGCAATTTGGTTGTTTATGTAAATGAGTACTTATGTTATTTCAATTATTTATTGATTTTTGAAAGCCTATTATATTGTCAAATATTGTTATTATACCTGATTATTTTAACACCATTTTATTGTTGTATTTTTATATAAAATAAAAAAAAATATATGAAATAAATGAAGTATGATTTCATGAGGTGCGCTTGTTTTATATCAAGTACCGGCTGGGACGAGTAGAATTCTACTTACATAACGTCAAGTTGCCTAGCAATCGTCATCATCGCCTGTACTGTAGGGGATAATTAGGTCGGAAGTGACGTCATAACAGTAGAATTCTACATGTCGTGATCCCAGCCCAAGTGATTGTCTATAGGTCTGTTTCTGCAGAAATCACAAACCAGTCAGAGTGAATTTCATTGGTTGAAACTAGTTTTCTGAATGTTTTCAACCAATGAAATTCGCTCTGACTGGTTTGTGATTTCTGCAGAAACAGACCTTATATTTTCACCAACACCCATTTCACCGTTTTGAAGATAGATACCCAGAAATGTCAAATGTGAAAATTGTAAGTAATATCGATGCATATTTCATATTTCCCTTTTAAAATAAATTGAGTTGTTCGTTGTTCGAAAACCTACAGTTATAATTTCAAAATTACTCGAGAAAATTAGAGAGAGTTGATATAAGAAATAAAGAAAATTTCGTTGTGAAAACCACCACAAGAATAGTAAAAAAGGGCCAAAAAAATGAGAACAACTTCGTGCGAAGCACTCGGAGCAAAAAGTGTTGCGTTCAGGCAATCGGTTTTGCGTTATCGAACGCAGCGGGCTAATGTAATGTCGCTGGAAGAAAGAAACGGCAAGGTGACAACATAACCTCATCAAAATCAGAAAATTATAAAAAAATTTTTGGAACAAGTGAAATTCTCAAATTTCTTTTTAAATAATTAAAGATGCGGCTTTTCCCAGCACTATTCAGACGAAAACACATGCCTCCAGGTCATATTTGGAGAGGTAAACGTAGGCTTTATAAGGAAGTAACTCCGGAACATATTCAAGGTTTGAAAAATAGATTAGAAATGGAAGAAAGAAATATGTTTTACTTGAGGCACGCTTTTATAACACCCGTAAGTATCCTTATGTGATTTTAGACATCCTTAAAGTATTTGTCCTAGACATGTTTTAATCAAGAGGCACTCTGTTGAACCTGTGTACCTATGTAGATACAAAACAAATTTTCTCCAATCCCAAGAAACTTGATATTTCTTAAATGTCTTTTCATCAATCTCTGGATGAGGATATATAAATTTCAGTACAATCTATTACATACTCGATTACATAGTAAATAATTCCATTCGATTTAATTTAGTTGTCTATCTGGAAATATAGTACACCTACACCATTTCCAAATCCAAGCGGCAGTAAATGACATTAAATAACCTAAATTGTAAACAAACACCAGCCTTCCTATTGGTTGAAACGCCTTACCTGGACCGGTGCGCATGCATGGAGGACATTGATAGGTTGTAATGAAAATGACCAGTTTGTCATTTACTGCCCCTTGAATTTTGTTCTACCCGAGGGGTCAACACCTGATTGGAAATTTGTACACCTACTGTAAACTAACCGTTCTAGTTGAGTATTGTTAGGGTATTGTCAGGCATTGTCACTTTATTTTAGGTATTGTATGGTATTGTTGGGATTGTCAAGTATTGCTAACATATTGTAAGTATTTAACTGGTACTGTCGGGTACTGTAGATGAAACAGCAATACTTAACCTGTATTGTAAAGCAATTTTTAGTACTGTTACTAATGTAGAAGTACTGTCGGTACTGTTTATGCATTTTCAGAACCAATTTTAGTACTGTGAATGTAATCATCTTTGTTATTGTTAAGTGTAAATTGTGACTGATGGTTTATTTTCATTGACAGCTCTTGTTCATTAGGTACATATTTTTCAAGCTTTATGCACTATGCATTGGTAAGATGCCAATTGTTTAATCGGATGTGATGAAACTAGGGAGTTTTACATGGCGGACCCCGTAAATGAAACTTTTCCGCTTGTTGACTAAAACTACTGATAACTTATTATATAGGGTGTTTAAAATACCATGGGCCACCATCGGTAGGTATATCGGAAACTGTAAGAGATACGAGGCCGTTGAATTAAAAAAAGTTGCCATTTCCGATGGTTATCAAAAATATATTTTCGTTGTTGCCAAATTTCTATTATTTTCCGAGATACAGGGTGATTTGGTAAAAAACACCTAGAACTGTTTTTTTTACAAATCATCCTGTATCACGGAAACTGATAGAAATTTGGCAGCAACGAAAATATATTTTTTTTTGCAATCATATATGTAATCTTGTCATTACTGACTTTTTAAAAATTTGGAAGTGACACTTTACCTGTGTCACTTTCCTCTTCGATTTCCCTCACCGATTTCCCTATTCGACTTCCCTCACCGATTTCCCTCACTGTAATTTATTTACCTTTGCTGGCAACAATGAGAACATGTCAGGTAAAAACGTCAAAGCAGTGAATGACACATTTTGGCATGTTTGTTTTATTTTTTTAATATTAAAAAAATTGATTGACTAATCATAATTAAGTGTGTGCTTGCAAATAAAATAGTATACAAACCTTGGAGGAAAGTTTTCATTACTGTCAAGAGATTTATATAGTCAATCGAGACGCGAAGCGTCGAGATTGACTATTAATCTCACTTCCCTACTATTAATCTGACTTCCCTACTATTAATCTGACTTCCCTACTATTAATCTCACTTCCCTACTCGGTATGTAATGTACTATTAATCACGATGGGAACTTTTTTTTAATTCGACCGCTCTCGTATCTCTTACCGTTAAGAGATGGTCCAATCATGGTATTTTTGACACCCTGTATATCGTTTATTAATTCCTAAACCCGTTTTACCGAGGTGCGGCTCACTCACCACAATTTTTACATCGATTTCGGAAATCGCAGGGGTCTTCGACAATTTTTAAGGGATTTCGAAAGTTTTCGTATATTCGAATTTCAACGCTGTATCACTAAAGATTTAGAGGATTTCGTTAAAATTGGGATTTCAGAAGGATTTCAGTTAGGATTTCGGGATTTTTGAAGGATTTTGGTTGGGATTTCGGGATTTCGTGAGGATTTCGGATAGAATTTCGCTTTTCGCGATTTCGAATGGATTTCGGGATTTCCAAAGGATTTCAAAGTGATTTCACGGGATTTCGGATGGAAATGTATGTACAGGGTGTCCGAATTTGGATGGTTTTAATAGAAAACGTCAATTTCTGAACGAGATACAAAAAAATGAACCCCCCACTCCGAGGCTCATATTTCTTGAAATTTTGATTGGTGCAAACCGCATTTTGATATCTTCAACCGTTTAGCCGCTAGAGGGCAATTCTCGATTTTGAGCAATACTGTGAAATCTTCATAACTTTTTTGTTTATAAAAATAACTGATTTCTGTAAAAACTTCCTAGAAGCACTTTTTCGAGCAGAATTCAGTAACGTTTTCAGTTTTATTCTATTGGGCCTCGATTTCAAGATTTTGACCAAAATCCGATTTTTTCCAATGGGACACCCTATATATTAATAGCTCATTAGAAAGCTCTGCTTTTGCTGATTTCAATGATAAAAATTTCGATAGGTTTATCTCTAACAGTTTTTGAGAAAAAAAAATATTTCGGCTTTTGTCACAAGAAACAATGAGTTAGAAAGAGACCTTTCTCAGTTTCCTTATAGATATAAAGTCCTTTTCTTACACATTACTTCTTATGACAAAAACCGAAATAATTTTTTTTCTCGAAAACTATTAGAGTTAAACCTATCGAACTTTATATCATTGAAATCAGAAATAGCCGAGCTTTCTAATGAGCTATTAATATATAGGGTGTCCTATTGAAAAAAAACAGACTTTGGTCAATATCTCGGAGTTGGGACCAACTAGAAAAAAAACTGAGAACGTCACTGAATTCTGCTTGAAAAAGTGCTTTTAGAAAGTTTTTACGGAAATCAATAATTTTCATAAACAAAAAAGTTATGATCGGTTATGATGGTTTCACATTATTGCTCAAAATCGAGAATCGTCCTCTAGCGGCTAAACGGTTGAAGATATCAAAATGCGGTTTGCACAAATCAAAAATTCATGAAATTTGAGCCTCGGAGTGGGGGGTTCATTTTTTTGTATCTTGCTCAGAAATTGATGTTTCCTATTAAATCCATCCAAATTCGGACACCCTGTACAGGGTTATTGCTTATAAATGTCACCCCTCTCTATCTTTTTTATTTCACATTTTAAAAGTTTTATGGTTGAAATTAGATTTTTTGGAAAACTCACTTTCGCATATACAGGATGTTTCAGAAAAGCTGGTCGTGCTCCAAATTTCTTAATTCAAATAGAATACCCTGTATATTATTAGATATTTGGATCCTACATAAAATTCTGACCGGATTTCATGTGATATACCCTATACCTAAGTCCAACTGTTTTGGAAATATTGACAGGTGAAAATTGACTTTTTGGCAACTTTGACAGGCTGTAAATCCTAAACGGTTAATTTTAGAGCAAAACCGATCTTACATTTTTGTCTTAGATTTTTATCAATCCAATATTTGACATCAAATTTGAATTTAATCCATGATTGAAAATTGCAATTAAATTTAATCTTCGGTTAAATTCAAAGTTGGTGTCAAATGATAACTTGTGAAAATCTTAGAAAAAAATGTAAGATCGGTTTTGCTCAAAAGTTAACTGTTCAGGTTTTACAGCCTGTCAAATTTACAAAAAAGTCAATTTTCAACTATCAATATTTCCAAAACAGTTGAAATTAGGTATAGGGTATATCACATGAAACCTGCTCAGAATTTGACGTAGAATCCGAACATTGAATAATATACAGGGTATTCAATTTAAAATAAGAAAGTTGGAGCACGACCAGCTTTTTTGAAACACCCTGTATATGCAAAAGTGAGTTTTTCAAAAAATTTAATTTCAACCATACATTCTATATTTGGGACACTTTTTTCTAAAATGTCAAATAAAAAAGATAGAGGGGGGTGACATTTATAACTAATAGCCCTGTACATACAGCAATTTCGGGAGTGAGCCGCTTCTCGCGTTTTACATATGTGTATTTTTACGTGTGTTTCTACATGTATGAAAATAAGTGTTTATTCATGAATTTCTTCACGAGATTAGCTAGGTATTTGTTGGTGCAAATATACAGAAAATTTCAGTGCTACTAACTTTCCTTGCCAAAATCAAAAATTAAAACCAAGCGGCAGTAATGACAATAATAACCTAAATTTAAATTGTTAACAAACACCAGCTGGGAATCCAGGGCTGGGACTCTGTAACGAATACAGATATTTTCTGTAACTCTATTGGCGTCCCCCGTCTCTAATGATTTCGAAAAGATAGAAGAAGATAGCAAATGGCATAGCGATAGGGCTAACGATCTCTATCCATTACAGAGTCCCAGCCCTGCCTTCCTATTGCTTGTAACGCCCTACCAGGACCAGAGCGCATGTGCGGAGGACATTTGTTAGGTTGTAATGAAAATGACCAGTTGTGTCATTACTGCCGCTTGGATTTGGTTCAACTATATAGTGAAATTATTAGAATAATGGATGCACGTCATCAATGACGTCGAAATTATTTCCAATTGCAGTCTGTAAGAAATTAAAATCCGTTTTCAACTCGGAGCACATTCTCTCTTTTGTTTAACCTTAGTTAAAAAGAGATAGAATGCTGTCGGATCATTATAACAGAATCTGCCGATAAACTGGGATTTTGGTTGGCACTCGTGGATAATGTTGCCAAATGTTGCCTTCCGCAAATCTTCGGTCATTGATTTCAACAATTTGAGGTTTATTGTCAGTTTTTAACGAGTCGGGGGTTGATAGTTGGGATAAAATTTAAGTATACTTGCTATAAAATTGTATTACTTAATGGAATTCCGGTTTTTTGGTATTAGGATTCTTGTCAATTTATTAATAAAAATGTAACCTGGGAAAATGACAAACTTTACTAGACATGGTATCTCAGAGTAAAACGAAGTTGATGCGGCAACATTGCGACATGCCAATGTCATGAATTTTGATGAGGTGC